TGTGACTATGTTAGGTTACATGGCTAGGGGAACACAGGGTGGTAATCCGCTGACATTCGCAAAGGGGGCTTTATCTGTGTTATCCAGATGGCTCAATGCCATCATGTGTCCTTAAATGGGAGACGGGAGAGACAGTGGCAGAGTACGTGCTGTAATGACCCTACTGGCCAGCGCTGGCTTTGAAGATGGTGGAAGGGGCCATGAGCCAAGGAATGTGAGCAGACATGGGAAATGAAAGAGGCAAGGAAATGTTTTCCTGGAGCTCCTTCAGAGGAGAACAGAGCTCTTCTGACACCTTGATTTTATCCCAGTGACATGCAAGACTTCTGATCTCCAGAAACATAAAATAATGAACTGGTGCTGCTTTAAACCACTAAACTTGTGTTATTTGTTATAACAGTGATAGAAAACCAATACAGAAGGATAACCAGCATGTTTACTACTTGTAAACATTTTAAACTTATTATTTATATTAATATATTATTGTCAAATATGTTATTATATTTTATTATTATAAAATAATGTTTATTTATTATTTAATTATTCATTAAACATTATTATTATAAAATATAAAATAATTTAATATTTAATGAATTATTGTTTATTATTACTTTGTAATAATTATAGTTTATTATTAAATATTAGACTACATGGTACCCCAGACTACATGAGTTATGGTTTGTATAATGTCCTAGATTCAGTTACAGAAGTCTGTTTTGTTATCAAATCCCAATCTTGGCCTGGGTATAATAACTGTGACAGCTTTAGTGGTATGAAGGCAGAGTGTATGTCCTTTAATTATGTCATTCCATGTACAGTGAAGAGGCTGATGGTTTTAAATTAAGCTTCCTATTCAGCCCCTCAGATAGTCCTCCTGTAAGAAGTACTTGTGAAACCCAGCATGAATGCACAATGGTCACAATGTGTATTTATAACCTTGTTTCAGACACCCAAATTGTGCTCTGCTGAAACACAGCAATCATTCAAGAATTTTCATTTTCATAGTTCACTTCCAAGTGGTATATCATTGGGAAGTACACTTTAATTTCTTTTTTTACTTTCATTATTGTTATTCATATTGCAAGCGTCACACAAAATGACTTAATAATTCAAGAATGAGAGTAATAGTAATATTAAATGTTGTATCTTCATAGAAAAAATGTAAGTTGCCAGTAACTGAGTAGGAATTTCTGTGTTTTAACAACATATGGGTTTGGCCTATCATTTAGTTTTGATGTTTTTTCAAAGAAGAGAGTAAATGGCAGAAAAAATGTTGAAAATATAGTCACTGTTCAACTCACATGGACACTCAGGATGATACACATGCATAATGATCATTCCTTGTTCCTAACAAATCCTTTAAAAGCTGGGCAAGGTATGTGTTATTTATAAAAGCATTAATTCCTAAAATTAGCATGGTCTGTCAATTAATATTTGAACATGAGCCTCTGGTAAGTAACTCCTCAGAGATAAAATTGCTGTGATTTTTGATATTCAACTGCACCAAATGTTAAGAGAACATAAAGCAGCCTAAAAATAAGGTATAGAATAGGATGACTAATTGTATGTGAAGAGATTTTACAGATGAAGGAAACTCAATTTGCCAGCCCTTTTGTAAGTTAAAAAACTATTTGTTATTCTTGACATTATTCTTTTTTTTCTCTCTCTTTTATTTTTTCCTAATTATTTTTATTAGTTGGAGGCTAATTACTTTACAATATTGTAGTAGTTTTTGCCATACAATGACATGAATCAGCTATGGATTTAGCCAGAGGGATGGGATGGGGAGGGAGGTGGGAGGGGGGTTCAGAATGGGGAACACATGTATTCTTGACATTATTCTGAAATCCTTATGCAACAAATAATTAACAGAAACAGCTCTAGAAGTGCTCATTGATAACCTATTAAAGGCAAAGTCGTACGTGATTTAGGGGATTAGTGCTGCATCTGAAGTTAATAGCTGCTAATTATTGTTTTTCTTTCACTGAAGGGCATTAAGAAAGTGAAAGCAGTGGAAAGTGGTGGTGGCTGCCCCTGAAGTCTCACTGTCTGAGTTAAATCTCGGCTCAGCTACTTGCCCGTGACCTTGAGCAAGTTATTTGATCTTGTGCTTTTATTTCCTCATCTATGAAATGGGTATAAATAGAGCTACGTAGTGTTCTTACAAGGATTAACATAACAATTATTGCGCACTGGCACACGATAAGCATATGTTAAAGATGATCCATTATTACTAATAAGTGAGTTATACACATGCTTCTCTGCTTTTTAAATATCATGTTTGTCAAGAAAGGAGACTGAAATATTGTCTTCAGTATTATCTGAATCATTATTAAAATAATAATATCACAGAATGTTTCAACACAAGGGGTCTTAGAAATAGTCAAACTCAGCACTCTTATTTTATTATTGAGAAAACTCAGATGTAGAGGGCCAAATCCCTGGAGGAGGAAATGGCAACCCACTCCAGTATCCTTGCCTGGAGAATCCCATGGACAGAGGAGCCTGGAGGGCTATGGTCCATGGGGTCACAAAGAGTTGGACACGGCTGAAGCGACTTAGCACGGATGCACGCAGGGGATCTAAAGAACCTGCCCAAAGTCACACCATCTTTTCTCTCGATGTGCATAGCAGGTATTTCTCCTTTTCATGCGGATTCATGAACCAAATCAACTTAACGGAGCCAATCAGTCTGATTCTTGCTCTTGGAAGGAGGAACAAGTTTTGTCACTGTGGAATAACAGGTGGGGGAAGAAAAAAAAATGAAAATGGTTTTCCACCCAAGGCCAACCAATGTGCACTGAGCAGTCCTGTTGAAAATACTTGAAAAATGCTCCCTTTTTCTTGTAGGAAAAGTGGTGGAATCATGAATTTATTGCTTTTTCTATCATTCAGTGGACCTTCGGCAACTTCTTCATTTCTTTTGATTGCACTTTCTCATGGAGAAGGCAATGGCACCCCACTCCAGCACTCTTGCCTGGAGAATCCCATGGACAGAGGAGCTTGGTTAGAATGCAGTCCACGAGGTCGCTAAGAGTCGGACACGACTGAAGTGATTTAGCAGCAGCAGCAGCACTTTCTCATCTATGAGTCTAACATCTGATAAAACTACCTCCCAGTGTGGTCAAGAGCTCAAAACAGTTTCAGCTAAGAAACTGTTGTAGAAAGAGGTTGTAGACATTACTAAAATTGCAAAAGAGGCCCAAGAAGTAGACATAGTCTGTTACAGCTCAGGGTGGGTCCGATCCTTACAGCTTCCTGGGGTCAGTTACCCGTGTGAATGCCCTGTTTTGAACAGAGGCTTTTGGGTGTGACGTTTTAGCCAGGTTAGAGTCTGTTACAGCGGGAGCCTGACGAGAAGGAGGCAGTAGAAAGCTGAAAAGTGGGGTGAGGGTGAAGATGGGTGAGGAGGAAAGGGAATGATTGCAGTCCTAATGGCTACTTTGTTTATTTTGCTTCTCATGTGCTGTAGGTAGAAAGGGATACAATAGAGAAGTAAGGAAAATCTGGGAAGCTGGTGAAAGAGGAAGGGAGCACCATAAACATGGCATCAAAGGCACATTTGTTGCAAGAATTCTTTTAACAAGGGGCAGGAACAGCTGTCCAAAGAGAGGTTATATGGCTAGGTACCCTATGAGCTCAATTAGGATGAATCCAAGGGAAATATTTTTCAATAAACCCAATTTTTCCCCATTAGAAGTTCAATGTGAACTTTAGATAAATAAAGAAAATAGATTTATTCTGGAGATCTTATAGGAGAAAAAGGGACAGGACTCAGGAGAAATTTGTTGTGATTTTACTTAGCATGTTTAGGACTAAAAATTCTCACCATTCTTTCCAGAAATAAAACACTAGGAGCAATCGGGGCTTCTTTGGGGATGGAGATATTTTTGGAAAAGAAGAAGAGTATTTGGGGACAGAGAACCAAAGCTCAGGGGAGATGGAATTAGGATGACAGTCCAGGGATTTTCACTTAACAAAGAAGGACTACAGTTGGTATATGACAGAGCTGATGAAGACACCACTGATAATAATATGTCAGTTCAGTTCAATTCAGTTGCTCAGTCGTGCAACTCCATGGACTGCAGCACACCAGGCCTCCCTGTCCATCGCCAACTCCTGGAGCTTGCTCAAACCCATGTCCAATTGAGTCGGTGATGCCATCCAACCATCCTCCCCTTCTCCTCCCACATTCAATCTTTCCCAGCATCAGGGTCTTTTCCAATGAGTCAGCTTTTCACATCAGGTGGCCAAAGTACTGGAGTTTCAGCTTCAACATCAGTCCTTCCAATGAATATTCAGGACTGATTTCCTTTAGGATGGACTGGCTGGATCTCTTTACAGTCCAAGGGACTCTGAAGAGTCTTCTCCAACACAACAGTTCAAAAGCACCAATTCTTCGATGCTCAGCTTTCTTTATGGTCCAACTTTCACATCCATACGTGAATACTGGAAAAACCATAGCCTTGACTAGATGGACCTTTGTCGGCAAAGTCATGTCTCTGCTTTTTAATATGCTGTCTAGGTTGGTCATAGCTTTTCTTCCAAGGAGCAAGTGTCTTTTAATTTCATGGCTGCAGTCACCATCTGCAGTGATTTTGGAGCCCCCGAAAATAAAGTCTGTCACTGTTTCCATTGTTTCCCCATCTAATAATTAGGGCGTTTTTCGCTTGTTTCCTATGGGACTGAGACGGCACCTAACGTCTGTATACATATTTAAGTTGCATCATCACAATTTAAGGTAGCTACTATTACTATCTCCATAGACAAGGACAGTGAGATTTACTGAGCTTAACTCATTTTACCGGAGTCCAAAGACAATTGGATTATGGGTACAGTGTAAGAAATTATTCCAGTAAATATTCTGCTAGTAGAAGTCTTTCAGGTGTGGCAAACAAGGAGACAGCGATGATCTCTTTACACGGAAGGCTTAGAGTCTTTGTGAGGAAGAAGGGGTGTCTGTGGCCCTTTGGGGGGACCCTCTGGGAGGACCCTCTGGAATGAGCTCCTGCCACCTGCCCTTACCGATGCAGCCGCGCCACCTAGAGGTGGAAGGCGAGATAGGACGAGGGGCCACAGAAAGGACGGGGAAGGAACTGCAGGGGTTGACGGGAGGGAAGCCAGTCACGGGAAGGGCGGCGAGCCGACAGAGGGGAGCCGGAAGAGCTGTCGAGGGCAGTGCCGGTAGGAGAATTCCCGCTGAAGAAAAGAGCTCAGGATCCATGCTCTACAGAGATCCGTGCTCTACAGAGCACGGGCCCGCAGAGGGGGGAGGGAGAGGAGAGGCCTTCGGCTGCCATCAACAGGGAGGCCCCAGGCAGTGAGCGTGATTAACCTGCAGAACATGGGACCCTAACCCCTGAGGTAAGAATGATGGAGAAGAGACACAGGAGGACGGGGGAGGAAGCTGGGAACCTAAGAAAAGTCATCCGTGCCTGTATAGCATCTGAAAGACAAATAACTCAGGAAGGTAGGAAGTCAGTGAAGCTGTCTGCTGGAAGCAGAACCAAGCGAGGTGTGGGATGGGGCAGGTTCACCGTGGGTGTTCTTGCAGAGTAAGAAACCAGACGTGGGTTTGAAGACAGTTGTCAAGGGAATTAAGTGTCTGGCCAGGAATGGGCTGGAATTTGGAATCACATTTGGAAATAGAGTTAAGCCAATGATTGCCCTCTCCTGTCCATTTTACCGCTCTGTGGTGTGCTAATGGGCAGAGTTCAGCTCCATTTTCAACATTTCACTTCCTTATATTTGGGGAACTCTTTGATCACTTCTTATCAATGGATACCTCTGGGCCAGCCTCCCTAGAGGTACATGTTTCATTGGATGCAGTTATTTCTTGGCTCATCTAGCTCCACAGTAAATATGATGGGTCTCTCCATCATCTGTCTAGCTCAGATATCTAGTACAGTGTTTACTGGACAGAGATAGTAAATAAATGGTTTTTGGAAAAAAGTTTCCTAACCTCTGAATGAATAATGCATTTTCTTTTTATTTTAAAGATAAAAGTCAAGTAAATTAGAATCAGGAAAGTTTAGTTAATATCTGTGGTGGAGGAATAAGTTCACTTCAGAATACGTAAAAGCTGAAACTCTATTTAAAAAATCATGGAAGGGTGGGAATGTCTTAATTCAGCAAGAGAGAGAATGTTTGCAAGACGGGGGATGAGATTAAAGGCTTTCAAAGAAGAAATTTATGTGTATAGGAAAACAATGAGGAAATTAGAGCATGAATAACAAAGAGCAATAAAGGAAGATTTATATATAGGATGAAGCTGATAAAGAAAAGAAGTCGAGCAATGGCAAATCCATCTGATTTGCAAGCAGAGAAGGGGTGCTCGACTAGAGGGGAAAACAAATAGATTAAATGGGGCTGAAAGAGTTAGTAATGTGAACAATGGAGTACTTTTAAGAACTGCTTTTAGAGCAGGAAGAGCTACACTTGGAGATGAAAGGTTGTGGAGAAATGACAGAAGAAAGCCTAAAGAAGTAAAGCAGTTCACGGCCAAGAAACGTTCGGTCTCTGAGAGTAGAGACGAAGTAGGGTCTCTGTGAGGGGAGGGTCCACTGGACCTTGTTGTCCCAGCTCAGGTTCCTTGAGAGGCACTGCTCTTGGGGATTTTCCTGATCATCTGCCTGTTTTCACTGGGTAAACCTAGCTCACAAACTCAGATACTCCAGGCTGAGAGGACAGGCATAATCACCAAGGGAGGAAGAACTAAGAGGGTCTGAGTGTGTGAAGTATGCGTATGTTTTAAAGGAAGTCAGTTAGTTTCCTGTCACTGAGACAATTCTGCAAAGAGCATTGATAGCGTCTTTTGAAATATCACTTACTTTCAGCTCCAAGTTAGCAATGTGATCAAGTTCTTAGGCATGGCAAGCATTTCTAACTTAGATGGTTTCTTTCTGCATTTTGGAAGCTGAGGTGAACAAAATATTCAGCGTTCTTCATGGCAACGTGGTGGGGGAAGTGAGATGATCTGTAGAGAGAAGGAGGAGAAGGCAGATAGTAAAATGTGATTTCATTGATCTTTCCAATGCTGATTACACAGAATTTGTGAGAGAATTCTGCCTGCTGGAAAGCTTGGCAGTACCAGTGGGCGTTAAACAGGTTTCGAAGCTCTTCTCCAGATCTTGTTTACGTGGTGGCAGTCAGATGGCTGATGCTGGTCTTAGGGAAGAAACAAAGGCAGGCGCCAAAGGAGGCGATTTTGTTAGGGTTAGACCGAGAACAACTTTTGCATCTAGCGAACGGTTTTTCTTTAAGATCATTCAAAGTTATGTGTGCCAGCCAAGTTGCTGTAATGTATGAAGAGTCTACACAGAAATGAAAGACATCCATCTTTACTCTCAATGGTGGAGAGAGAAAAAAATGACAGGAATAAGTGTGTCTTAGCCCTTGCCATATTGTCGGTTTTAGATATTTTTTCAGAGGCAAAAAGCAGGGAGATAACCAGTTATCTCGTTTAAGGGTGATAGATTGTAAAGGTGGAAAAGAAATATTGGGTAGCCTAAATGCCACATCAACATATGCAGACAACGTCCCACTGGTAATAAGAAAAAAAGAGTCAATACATGAAATGTAAGAGTTATGCCAAAAATACTATGTGATCCTCAAACAAAGGCAAACATCCTAAAATTGTAGATGGAAAGTATTGAAAATTCATTCAACACAATCAAGGATAGTAAGAGTTTAGACTTGCAGTTTAGAGTGATAAAAGAGGCCAAATAGAAATGGAAATAAAGATGTAGAAAAAATAAATATTGGACATTGACAAGCAATCATTAGAAAACACATATTTAGTTTTATTTGTTGAAAATTTTCTGTTGATCTCTATGGGAACTCTGGGCAAGTTTAATGACATGTTTTGCTACAGGCTCTAAATAGTGGTGAGATGTTACTGGATTCTGTACAATTCTGTTTGGGGAATGGAATGTGATAACCAGGGGGCGTGCTTTTTGTTTTACCTGTCCGCAAAAAGGAGTGTCTGCAGAAGAACAATGTTCTGGAAAGCAGGAAGAGACGGGCAACCCAAGGGACTTGGCGAGGGAGACCGTGGAGCGGGGAGATAAAGGTGAACATCTTACAGGGAAAGCCAGAGACGTCTCATAAAGATGTGCTAAAGAATGTTTGAACTTACAAAATAGAAATTGAGGGATTTAGAGTGAGAACATTCAAATCGTCCTTAAAAAGCCTGAGGAAGTAGAAAAGCGAGGTCAAAGCGTCGAAGTCGCAGGAAGTGTTTCAAACAGCAGGCTTCTACCGGAAGCCAGCCTCAGGCTCCTGAGGAGATCCCGTTCACCCAGGAAACGTGTCAGGAGGAAGTGACGACATCCCGGCGCCCCGGCGTCACGCAGCAACATATTGTTCAAGTCAAGCCGGAAGGACTGTCCGGGAAAGAGGAGGCAAGCAGAAGTGACCAAAAGAAGGCTCTCTTTCGAGAGAAAGTCCACGAAACCAAGATCTGAGGTGGCCTCTTTAGCCCAGTACAGCTGGAATGTGGAAGACTATGTGTGATTTTGGAGAAGGGAATGGCTATCCACTCCAGGGTTCTTTCCTAGAGAATTCCATGGACAGAGGAGCCTGGCGGGCTACAGTCTATAGAGTCACGAAAAGTCGGATACAACTCCATCTGTGATTTATTAGAGTCCGAAAGTACTAGTAAGATGGATAAAACAAATAGAAAAGTATAGATAGAACAAGTAATGACTTCAATAAAATGGAACATAAGCATATTGAGTTGTGAGAAACTGATGCAGCCTACAGTTCTTGCAAAAAGATAAATCTATAAATTATAGATGAATTATTTTATAATTTATCCAGTGATAGGAAATAAAGGGAATCATTTAAATTAAAAAAAAAACAACTTATGAACACGAGGGAATCTCTAATGTTTGAATGTAATAGGATTCTAGTCATCCTGTATGGATCTCCACATGATAATATTTCTACAGTTATATACACTCAAAACTAAGATATTTTTAACCACAAATTTAATTAGGTTTCTCTGAAGACCCAGCCATGCTCTAGGCTGGCTGGAGATGCAGCGTGCCACTCAGGAGACTCCAGGAAACCTGTCAAAGGTAGACACAGATAGAAAAGATGAGTGACCGTTTCTGTAGCTCATACTCCATCTATGCCAAGCCGAGATAACAAACAGCAACAAAATCCTGTCACGCAGTTATTTCATGTCTGCAACACCCAGGCCACAGTTGACTAATTTTTTTCCCCTTTCAAAATTGGCCAAATCTTTACATATCGTGTAGAGAATATTTTTGTCTTCACTTGGAAACGCGCCCTAGTGGTTGGATTATGTTAAAAAAAAGGGGGGTGGGCAGGAGAAAGCGTGCTCCTTAATTAACACAGTGAAGGGTAACTTCAGTTACGAACAGATACGGGCTGCAGTTTGGACGGACTGTTGATGAGAAGAGGAGGCAGCTGGAAGCTGGATAGCCCAGGACGATGCCGTCTCCAGGAAGCTGAGCCTCAGGCAGGAGGAACACAAGGGGACCTCCGGGGAGCGCGGGGCGGCCTGCCCCGTCGCGGGCCAGGCAGGCTCGTGCGCCCGCCGCCTGTCATCACGGAACCAGCGCTTCTGCCCAGGCCCCGAGCTCGGCCCACCAGGACGCGGACCGAGAGGCACCGCCCGAGGCCCGGGGTGCGGCCCGCGGCGGTTGCTCCTGCGCCTGTGGCTCTGGTCCCAGGCCTGGTCAGGAAGGGAGGCCTCTCTCAACACACCGGCTGGCGCCTGCCGGTCGGGCTGCCAGGGGAAACGCGCGCCCAGTGTGCCGGGCGCTGTGCATGCTCATCGCGCGCGATAGGATGTCCAGCGGCCGCACCCGGGGACGCTGTAAACGACAGCGGCCGGCGGCGGCAGGGGGCAGGGGGCAGGGGGCAGGCGCCGGGGGCCCCAAGCGTCTCCAGGCTCCTTCAGAGCTGGCTCTGCGGGCAGAGTCTCCGTCACCGTCAGCTGGCCATTTCAGGTGGACTTTGTCACTCACATGGTTCTTCCTGGAATTGTTGGAGAAGGCCAAGCAAGCCCTGTTTATTTTGTTTGTGTTTTAAGAGAGAAATAGAAAGAAAGAAAAAAAGAGAAACTGGAAGAAACATAGGTCTTTTCAATAACCAGAAGTTTGATTTTGGAAATGCAAGAATGGTAGCAGTAATGACAGAGCTTCGTGGAAATCAAAATTTTAATATAATTCCTACAAAAAGTAAGTCACTCAGAACTCTTTAGTGTGTTTTTTCAGAATACGGGATTTGGGACATTCAGACAAAAGTCACTGATCGGTTTTTTTTTTTTTTTCCTAAAAGGAAGATTTATTCGACAAGTTTCACTTAGCGAAATACACCTAAGAGAAAAATCACAGTACAATGAAAAATTTAAATCAAGGCCTCAGAATTTTATACAAACACCAAGACCAAATGCTGAAATATTGGTATTGCATGTCAGATTTTCCCCATTAACTTAAAAAAAAGTGTAAGCTTACGTGCCATAGAGGTTATTAAATGAAACTAGAATTAACATGCCAAATGTTTCACTTTTAATAGACACAGCTCCTGTGTTGAGTTTTACAAAAAAGCATGTCTTTCAACATGCATCCAGTGTTCAATGTAATGTGATGTGAGAGCAATATTTAACATAATTCACCTGCTTTAACCCAAATACACTTACTGCTGAAGTACATCCTACAGTAGAACTAACTTGAGAAAATAGCTGAAGATTATTTAACAGTAATAGTTTACTCAACCTGGTTGTTACATCCCAGATGAATGTTTGTGTTCAAAAAGACCGAACCTTAAGTCTTTAAAACAATCCTGATTTCCACTTAGAGTAAGCATAAGTCACAAACGTGTATTACAAAACAGCTACAACTTAAGTTTTTCTTTTAAAAAATGTTGCCCAAGGTCAGTGATCAGGATCAATGACATTCCCCATGCGCCACTCGTACTGGGCGTGCTGGCCATCCCTCCATTCCGTTCATGCCCACAGATGTTCGGCTTCCACTACTGCAGTAGCTGCTGTTCACAGCTCCTTGGCTGCCTATGCAATGTTTGATGGAAAAACCGCTGGATTTTCATGTAAAACTTGGTCATGCCCACCCATGCTGCTCTGGCCACCATGGCCGCCTCCATACCCACCACTCAGCTGCTGGCTGGCCAGGCCACCATAACTGGACTGGTTTGCATAAACACCACCGCTTGCTCCTGCTGTAGAAGTCAAGAAGAGTTCTGCGTGTCTGCGTTGCGTATTTGCTTTGTCTTTTACATAGCTGCCACAGCATCTTCATGCGTTGCAAACTCGTCATCTGCTTCACCAGTTACTCTGCCATCAGGACCAATTTCAATATGTACTCTCACAGGGTTGGGTGGTGAAAAAGGATTATAAGTGCCATTCTCAGTAGCTCTGTGAGGTAATCCTTGCGTGTGTGCAGAGCGTCCTGTTCCACGGTGTCCTCCGGAAAGTAGAGCCACCATCCCCGTATCTGTGATCTGGCATTCCTGAAAAACAGTAATTGAGGTCTCTTCCAAATCTATCTGACCCAAATCCATAGCCATCATTATAGCCATCATAATGATCATAGCCTCCATAACCTCCACGGTAAGCACCACACCTCATCCTTTCGAAGCCAGCTCCTCTTCCGTGCTGTGATACCCTCTGCCAGCCCCAGGTCTGTCATAGGGACCTGGCCACTGCTCAGCCATAGGTTTCCGTAGTGGGTCACAGTGACTTCTAACTTAAGCTCCACTGCTCTTAAAGATTCCGATGTACCTGCACCCTATTCTTTCCTTGTGTTTCTTTAGAGCCTTTTCAGCTATTTCCTGTGAAGCAAAACACATGAAGGCCTCCCTGGTACTCCTCCCTGGAAGTCCACCGGCAATTTTACCCCATTTGGCATGATTTCCAGCCCTGCGAAGAACTGAACAATTTCTTCCTTGCTATATCCAAAGGGGAGTCCCCTAAGCCATACAAAGCCATCATTGGCCATGTCGGGACTATTTGGACCAGTATGCTTTAACACCGAATCCATTTCAACGTTGTTTAATTTGAATCCTTCAACATGTCTGTGTCCCAGTTTCCCTGTCTTTTTTCATGGCCAGTTTGACTTCATCTTCTGATTCCAGTTCAGCAAAAGCCTCGCCACTCGGTCAGCCTTCTCTGGTGTAGATGAAACAAATACCTTGAGCCTCATTTTGAATTTTGCAGTCAGAAAAAAAACCACTGCACTTCGTCTGCCGAGCAATACCAAGGCAAGCCCCGGACCTTCACCACGAACCCCTCCGCGCCTTCGGTGCCCAGCATCATCATCTCTTAGTGGGTGCTGGCGTCAAATCAGACTGCCCATACAACTTCGGAACAGCTAAGAGGGAAATAAAAGACCCCAATCTTTAAAGAGTCAAAGATTACCATGATAGGGAGAGGAGAAACAGCAAATAATGAATATGATTAAAATATCAGTTGATGTTTTCTTACTACAGCCCTTGAAATCTTGCCAACCAGCATGTCTCTCTTGCTGGTGGAACAGATGAATGTGATGTTACAACACCCACCGCCGCCCACCAATGATCGCCCTACATTGTTGTGTGCTCTTTCAAAGTGCTGGGCGAGGGTTTTTCATTAAATGCATCATTTACAGCTCACTGCAGTGTTCCGCAAAGTCAACACATATCCTTAACAGAAAGCAAAGAATGAAGCATGAGAGAGAGAGAGACGGAGCGTGGATCCAGCAATTGTCAGGAGCCCAGGGCATGCATTCCATCCTGACGCCAGGCTCAGTGTCAGCGCCTTGGCCTGCGAGCAAAGAGAAAAGGCCTGTATCTGCATATTTATCTACCATTCTGGGTTCCCTTGACAGAGGGGTTCTGGGAGTAAAATGGAAATAGTGGGCAAATACAATTTGGAGAGATGGTAGTCGACCAGCTAGATATTTTCATCACATTACAGTCCCCAAAGTAACAGGAAACATTTTGCCAAAATGGAATAAAATGACCATGAATGACTTTCCCTCTTCCTGTTGTTATTATTCAGCCTCTAAGTCGTGTCAGACTCCTTGCGACCCCATGGACTGCAGCATACCAGGCCTCCCTGCCCCTCACCATCTCTTGGAGTTTGCCCAAGTTCATGTCCATTGAATTGGTAATGTTATTCAACCATTTTATCCTTTGCTGCCCTCTTCTTTTGCCTTCAATCTTTGCCAGCATCAGGGTCTTTTCCAACAGCTTTCAAAACCTACTGAGAAGGGGAAGCATAGCGAAGATCCTTTATCAATTATAATTTGGGCATCAATCCATGGAAATTTTTAATGGTTTTAAGCTGACATTTTTTGAGAGAAGTTGCCTTAAAATGATACCAACTATGCATCAGTAACACAGATATTTTGGAAGCAGTTTCTGAAGCCATACTATGTGCCAAGCACTGTGTGAGGGAAGAGGGAATGAAAACAAAGAAGTAACAAAAAGCAGTCACTTTTCTCAAGAAACTTAGGGTTGAGTTGAGCTAGCAAGCTATCATACAGTTAAAACCATAGAAGGCACTTGTCAAGAATCTTGTACGACACAGGGAATATAGCAAATATTTATTAGTAACTATAAATAGAATATAATCTTTAAAAATTGTAAATCATTATATTGTACATCTGTAATTTATATAATATTATACACCAACTATACTTCAATAAGTGGAGAAGGAAATGGCAGCCCACTCCAGTATTCTTGCTGGGAGAACCCCATGAACAGGGGAGCCCGGCGGGCTACAGTCCTTGGAATTGCAAAGAGTCGGACATGACTCAGCGACTCAACAGCAACACTTCAATAAGGGGCTTCCCCTGGTGGCTTAGTGGTAAGAAAACAAACAAAAAAACCCCCTCATGCCGATGCAGGAAACACAGTTTCGATCCCTGGGTGGGGAAGAGCCCCTGGAGAAGGAAATGGTAACCAACTCCAGAATTCTTGCCTGGGAAATCTCATGGACAATTCGATTTTTAGACTAAACAACAACAACATACTTCAAAAAAGACTTCCTGACAAATAAGTGTATTAAGATAAATGTAGCTCTGTATACAGGGACATAGTTATATCAGTGACACGGGCAATTAATCAAAAATATTTGTCTTAATAGAAGCCAGAGCTCACTTGTGATCACTATTATTATTGTTATCATTATTAAAGAATTTAAATGATTTAAACTTACTATGTTGTTAGTATAGCAGGCTAAGTAAGTTGGCCATGTGTTCAAGGAGAAAAGAAATGAGTGTGATCCACATGGGCAATTTGTTCCTCGACCTTGTGTTAATTTTTACTTTCTGTCTGCTTGGTTTCTTTGTTTTGCTTCAGAATCTGCTTGGGAAGGAATTCTGAATATATCTATAAGGAAAAAATTACTTCCTGGGATACCATATTTTTAGGGAAATTTTCCTCCTTTTTTTCAGTGGCTGTTGGTGGTTTAGAAAAGTGTGAAGGGACAAACCCATGGAGTGTTTATAAAGAGAGGACACCTGGAGAGCATTGTTTTAGAATAAAAATCTTTCATCAGCACAGATGTAATTTTTCATCTGGGTTCTGGCCCCAGCAACCAAGGTGTCAGTGAATTTCTAGGAGAAACTGGATTTTACAGGTGCCTTCAAATGCTTTGCATTTGGCCCTGGTTTCCGAGAATTTACTGGAAAGTCGAGGGAGCTCTCTAGTGAGCCGCCTATCTGATCTGAAATAAAAAATAGAGTTAGGATTCACCGGGGGCAAGCTGGTGGCTGGCTGCTTTGTCTTTTTAGTTTGCTTCTTTGTTCTCTTTTGTGCTCAGGGTCCCAATTATGGTTAAAACAACCAGCTTTGAGCGGGCATGCATGCCAGCTTGGCATAGCCCAACGCCATTTAAATCTCTGCACTTGCCGAAGTACATGCAAATGTTTTTTTGTAAAAGAATTTCTCATTTGGAGATAGATTTTTACAGCTCTTTTTTTCCCTTCTCTTTTCTTTCATTTTTGGTTTCAAATCTATTATTTTATCCACTACCTGCAGTCTTTGGTGGAAGACATGAGAGTGACTGAAGGTGGAGAGAAAGGCCAAAA